ATTCCAGTTTCAGAATCAGAATAGGTTAGCAGTAACTTTCTACAACTATTATACCTTTTTCAAGGTCTTCATCTCTTGCATCGATGTAGACACTTCGTTTTTCACACTTCCTTTCCAATGACAAATCATGAGAAAACTTGCACTTGTCTCCTTTAGTGCACTGTCCTTGCTTGAAGAAAGCACAAACTACAGATTTTGGGTCAGCACCTGAGTGAAGAAAGTTTTTTATATTTTAATACCATTTTAAGGAAAAGTGACATATTAGAAATTCTGAGAATATCTAGGATATATAGAGAATGAAAATACGTTTTAAAAATAAAAGTTATTTAAAGTGCTCATGGTAAGTATATAATTCATGTCCTGAACATGACAAATTTACTTTTATTGCGTGGTATTTATGTTAAGTATCAGAGCTGCCACTAAACTATTTAAAGAAAGATGGTGTGCCTGAGGAAATTATTCATTTGTGTATTAGAATACATCAGAGAGTTCATTCTGTGCAACTTCTTCCCTGTACATGAAGCTATTCTTGCCTCTAGTACACAGTAAAGCATCTTCTGGATGTCAGCCTTTTCCCAACAGATGAACACCAAGCTATAATAAATTACAATAATTAAACCCACATTCACTCAAACCACTTTCCTCCTTTAATAATGGAAAGAAAATGGCTGATCAGAGATCCCAAAATAAGGAGCTATGGTTCTACTATAAGCTATCCAATCACTCTAACTACAGTTTAAGAAAAAAATCATCCCACTAAAGAATCATTTGACCACTGGGAGGTCATTAGGAAAAGAAATGAAAGAAGCAGGTCTAAGTGTATTTATAAGACATGACTAAATCAGAAATACTTTACTTGCAGTATTAATTTAGTTCTCATGGAGGATTTTAGGCTTGAGTTTTTCACATGATGCTTCACTTCTGGTTTGACTGAAAGTGATTTCACTGTGTACAGCAACACCTGTTTAAAATGTAATCTAAAAATCTGAAATAACTCAAAGTCAAAAACTGCTTGATTTAGGGAAAACTGATGCAGAAAGTTGGAGGTCACAAACAGAAAAGTGTCCTTTGTCGCTGATCAGCGCCACAATGAGAAAATATCAGGTTTGCTTTAAACATATGAAAATCACACTTCTTCTGTCAAAAATTACTGCATGTATGCTCCAGAAGATTGGCAAGTAAAAACTTGGTAACATCACAAAGTTTGTTTGTTCAATAACCGACCTCAAGGGATATCCAAACCAAATGCCACTGCTAATTATGAGGTCAGATAGCAGTATCTGGAACGTATTTGCAGCTCTGATCTTGAGTACAAGTCTTCTGTTATGCCAAATAACAATATGATCTTTTATTCTTTCTTTGGATGTTCACATTTCCCTGGAGAGACAGGCTGTTTTAAACAAATACCATGACACACACACACAGAATCATGCCACATATCCAGAAGCATCTGATGAATCAGAACACAGCCAAATATCTTCAGCTGTGCTGACAACATCAATGCAGCTTTTGGTATTTAAATGATCTTCTGAGCCCAGGGGACTTCCCAAAACAATGTCAAATCATGACTGACAAAATACTTGATGCACTGATGAAGGAGGAAATAGTCTATTTCATTAAAATACCAATAGGTGTTTTTGAAGGGTTATTATACCTTCAGTAGTTATATGAATAACAAAACATAAATGAAGATAAATCACTCAGTCATACCTTTGCTTATTTTCTGTGCAGCAACCACAGGCTTGAAGAGTTCATTTAATTCTTGTAATT